CTCTGCCCTGCTGACAGGAAGGGCGAGGCGCCCGGAGACTCGGGAGCCTCCGCGGAGCCGCGCGGTCCCTGCAGCGGGGATTTGGGGAAGGGAGGCTTCCCGGGCGAAGGGCCTCGGTCAGGCTTTGGACGCGGAGGAAGGAAGGGGAGGCGAGGGCATAACATGGCGCAACATTAGGATAATCTCCACGGCGGCCGCGGGAGGACGAGCCCATTGCTGCAGCAGCGGGAGGAGGGAAGCGGCCAGGGCTTGGGTATCCAATGCGTTTTCCGAAGCCTGCGGGCGGCAAGGTGGCAGCCCTGCGGCGGGGAGGTGAGGGGTGGGCACCCGGTGGGCGCAACACCCAGGGAATAACCCCGAAGCACGCCGGGCTGGCACCTGGGGATCAGGTTGCAGGCAAAGTGCTGATTGGGGGCGCCGAAGGGGATGGTGGCAGGATGCTGGGACTGGAGCCCGCGCTGGGGTTGCGCGACAGACCTACCCTTTGCTCAAGACCCTCTAGACCGCGTTGCAGGAGCGGGCGCGTCTCTGGCTCCCAGAGGTGGTACCAGGGCGGGGACGGAGCAGAGAGCCGCCGTGCGGCTGGAGGAGGCAAGGCCTGGGCGCTCCGAGGGTAGGGTCTGTGGTGTAAAGCAAGACCATCTCCTCTACTTTCCCGCAGAAGAGGAGGCGGTAGACGCGGCCAGAGAAGATGTCGGGCCAAACGCTCACGGATCGGATCGCCGCGGCTCAGTACAGCGTGACGGGCTCCGCTGTGGCCAGGGCGGTCTGCAAAGCCACCACTCATGAAGTGATGGGCCCCAAGAAAAAGCACCTGGACTGTAAGCATCTCTTTATATAAGCGGGACATGCGCAGGGCAGGCGCCCTGGATGCCGGCGGCGCGGCCTGGGCTGGCTGTCCAGAATGCTGCGGCCTTGACAACTCTCAGCGGGGCTGCCCAGAGCTGGAAATCTCCAACCCTGGAGGTGTCTGCTTCCATGGGTCAGCCCCCAAACCTTGTCTTTGAGCCATCCGCCCGCCCCCCCTCCTCTTTACCTCCAAGGTCTTAGTGGAGAAAATATACATATTCATCAATGCTATAAGATACCAAGAAATTGCACACTCTGTTTTAGGCACGTTTCCCCTCTTTTTCTTTCTTTCTTTCTCCGTACCCCTTCTCCGGGTTAGAGGAAGTCAGGGGTTGCGCAGTCATGACAACAGCAGAAATAAGATGGATTAATGGAAGGTCAAACTTGTCACCCTAGTTGTCTCTTAAATATATTTTGAACAGTTTTTAGATAATGCCATCTTTTTCAGTGTCGCTGCTGAGATTTTGTGTGTGAGTGTGGGTGTATGAGTGTGAGTTGTATATAACCACACCAAACTGAAATAAATTCAAACTGCCGAAGGAGGAAATTTGCACTTCGTAGATAATGGGGATTTCGTTTTACACTTCCTGGCACACTGCTTTGTCCCATTCTCAGAAACTGCTGGGCAGAATGACACGAGGCTGTGGTCACAAAATGGATGGGCTTTTCCAGCATTTGAGGCGGTGTGATTTTAGAGGAAAACATTTAATTCATAACTTTTTTTTTTCCTATTGGTGGTTTGATGGAAAAAAATTAGTTTGGAATCTATATATTTCTGAAACAAGTGTTTTCTTCGATTAACAGGCAATCTTTTGTTATCGAAGGGCAAATAGGGACATTTAGAAAGAGGCTTTCACCTGCTTTGGGTAGTGAGGCTCCTAAAAAGGCTGCATCAGAATCTATTCTGCAGCTACCGTTCAGTCTTTTGGACCTACTTGAGATCTGTCCTGTTAGGATGTTTGTTGGCCAAGGTCGGTGTTGGCATGAGAGACACAGATCCAGCCATACCCGTTTCACATCTGATGTCCTTTGCCCATTTTCTGGTTTCCTTTGGCTGCAGGCCTTCCCCAGTGTCTTCCATGTGTAACTGGCTGAGAAAATGACACCAGTGTCAGGATGGACTCTAGTCCTATCTGTATAAACGAAGCTTGATGAAGCTTACAACGGACTCTGTCAGGGTGTTGCAGCCTACTGAACCTGTTGTCTCATAAAAATGAATAATTTTGCTTCTAGAGGCTTGCCTGAGAGGAAAACAGCATTATTCCTTTCCTGAGGGAATTCTTCACAACACTCGTTGATTGTGGTATCATGTGTTACATATGCAGTCCAGGATGAGAGAGGCCACCAGGGCCGGGGCACCTAACAGAAGTGGAAATTATAAATTCATGACCAGCTCGTTTTGCTGCAGCATGCTGAATCATTTAGCCATCTTTCCATCAGTTTCCCCAACACTGGAAGGGTGACTCATGTCTTAAAGGTGTGGGTCAGTCTAGCAGATCCTCATAATAAAAAGCTACAGTTTGTGGATTTGCTAAATGCTATGAAAATAATAGGTTAATATATCAATACACTTCAGAAAACATTCGCAGGTTTGAGCATTTCATTAAAACATTTTCAGATAAAGACTGACTTGCCCATATCTAAATATGTCATCAGTCATCTTAATCTTTTAGATGTCAAAAAAGTTCCTTAAAATTTTTTTAAAGAGGAAGGTTTTCCAGTGTTTGCAGCATATGTTAGTAGGTGAGGTGATTTTGAAGACGTGGCACTTAGGGATAAGGTTCCATATTTAAAGAAAGCAGCTGAAGTCAGGAATTGGAATTGAATTATTAATGTGAATAATCACACGAGCTAAACATTTATTGAGCAGTTACTGTATGCCAGGCAGTGAGCTTTACATTATTTATTTGTCACTACTTAACTGGTTCAGGCAGGATAATTAACTGTCACAGCTTTTACTACTGTACTTAACTGCCATCTGTGGTTTATTTAGTAAAATTCTTCCTTGGAGGGTGGAGGGAAGGAAACATATTAGCCTGAATGGTCTAATCTTGAAAATACCTGTCCTGTTTGCAAGGCTTTCTGTGAAATGGGGCCTCACAACTCATGTACTCATTGCCATCCCTATGAAATGCATGAAAAAAAAAAAACACCACATTTAAATCTGTCACATAAAAAAAAAGAGCAAAAGCCAAGTACTGAAAAGTATTGTTTTTGTTTTTGTTACATTTTACTTTGCACTAACGCATACATTATCTTCACTTACAACAAATCTTAGGGAGGAGTTTGGGAAGATAGATATCATTACTGATATGTCCTAATTTAAGAAAAGATGATACGGAGAATCTGAATATGCATAATGTTATATTTATATGCATTGTAAGATGGCATCTTCACTCAGGATTCCTGGTGAAGTTTCTTTAAATAACAGTAAATTACCTTAGTAATTTATTCATAGGTTTTCAGTAACATACCAGTTAGAAAAGTGAGTCACACCTTTTCATGAAAACATACAAACACATAACTAAATTTCACTGTAGGCCCTGAAGTATTCTTCAATAGTTGGTGTTTTAGTTTGGAAAATAATAAATACTACTTGGGAGGAAAAGAGCATAAAATGTAGAGTTGGGGATTTGAAACAAAAAATTTATAATTTCTTGATTTGTGTATAACTTTTTAGTTTAAAGTTTAGATTGGAAGATTATAAGAATAGAATATGTGGCTCTATAATTTTTTTAGATACCGGGTTAATTAAATGGGCTCAAAATCTTTACGAAAAGTGTACTTAATGTTAATTAAAGTACTGATTTAAAAGATAATTTTTTTCTCTGTAGTTTCATAGGCCAAGAAAATTATTGTTAACTATGGTGATTTGTAAAACGATACTTAATGTTACATGATTTATATATTTGAAAAAATACTTATTTTAAACAAGTAGGTGGAGAGAAGGTGGATATTTTTTTTAAAAAACCCTCTAGAAGCCGAAACCGGTTTGGCTCAGTGGATAGAGCGTCGGCCTGCGGACTGAAAGGTCCCAGGTTCGATTCCGGTCAAGGGCATGTACCATGGTTGCGGGCACATCTCCGGTAGGAGATGTGCAGGAGGCAGCTGATCGATGTCTCTCTCTCATCGATGTTTCTAACTCTCTATCTCTCTCCCTTCCTCTCTGTAAAAAATCAATAAAATATATTTAAAAAAAAAAAACCCTCTAGAAATAAGTTCTCTGATTTTTTTTTCAATAACTATGTTTCTTAGAGGAAAAATATATTCATAAAAAGCTTTGCTATAATCAGCATCTACATATTAAAGGATATGGATACTTAAGTGTCTATAGAAAAACTGTATACAAACTAGTTAAGGATTATATATTTTAAGGTAATTTTTGATTATGTAAAACTTTTATTCCATACTCTACCCTACTCTAATAATGTTGCCCTGTGCCTATGACAATTAAACACCTAACCGATGTTAATTTGGCCTTAGTTTTTCTGGGTCTATCTATACATCCCCATTTCTTTTTCCTTGTAACTTTGTGAACAGATTTAATAGTACGTAAAGCATCCAGGACTCAGCAAGCATTTGCCTTCTTGGTCACGAGTGTATTACATTTCAGATTTCAGTTGCTTTTCCTTTTCTGTTTTGTAATTAATGGGCTAAAGGATAGCTCAAGTCAAATAATAAAGTAACAAGATCCAATAGGGTACCCAGTACCTACCCAAATGCTGTGTCAAGGTGAAACAACAACAACCACCAAAAAAAAAAAAGGATGAAAGTAACACCTGCAAGTGGGCTGGGGATGCAGGGGAGGGGAGGAGGAAGGAGGATTTGGAAAGTTTTGTAGCCCTGGTATAAGATTCATTTTGATTAATACCTCTTATGAGCAATTTCTATGTTTAAACTTAGACATTACTAGTAACGTCCAACAAAACCTTATGAAAAGCCAAATTGGTTATCAGTAATCCTATTTTTTTTGTATTCTAAACCTCTTGAGGGTTTTTAATAATGAGTTTATCCCACATAATAGACAAGTCAAGTTCTGAATAGTATGTTTGAGATCTTTTCATTCTTTAAGTAATTCTTTTCCTCCCATAATAAGAAAAAAATATGATTGTATTTCTTTTAAGAATATCTGATAAAGGGCGAGGTAAAATATGGTCTGTGTTTTGATTCAAGGCAAATATTGGCAAATTACCACAAAATTCCT